AGTAGATTTTCACAGATCATTTCTGTTTTTCAAAGCAGAACTTTTCTTGTTTTTATGCTCATGTTGTTTTAATATTCGCAGCCTTCATCTTTGTCTTTATGGTATCAATGCATGTAGTCGATAGACGCTTTGAAACTCACCCCACATGACGCCACTACACCAATCAAATGCTTCATTCAGAAAACTCAAAGGAGGAGACGAGACATGAGAAGAGGGATTTAAATGTGACATGGTTCACACATGAGTAGTTAAGGAAAAATAAGAAAAGGGAAAATCAAACTACACTTTTTCATTATTTTAAGTTAAGCACTTTTTTTGAAAACATCTTTTTAAAAAGATTTTTCATTATTTTTGAATACAAACCTTATTTTACTAAGACCCACAGTTCATTATAAAAATATTAGTAAACATTGTTGAAATAATGTTGAGTTGTTTTCTCTAATTGGATCTAAATAAAAACATCTGGCAGGTTCACATTCGCTGTCACTCCTCCATTCAAAATATGCTTCAAGTGCTCCTAAAGTAAAATTGTACCACTGCAGTCTGCTTGTTTTATTACTGGATTCGTGTTATTAGTTGTTTTTTGTATCTCACTCCCTCTCACCTCCATCAGGTTGGTGGTTTGATGCCTGCGGTTTCTCCAACCTAAATGGTGTGTACTACTCCATCGGCCACAACATCAGGAAGCTTAACGGCATCAAGTGGCACCACTTCAAAGGTCCCAGCTACTCCCTGCGCGCCACCTCCATGATGGTACGACCCTATGACTTTTAAAGGCACCCTTCACCCTCTACAATGGTTTGATCCAACGGAGCTTAAATACCACAGCGGTATCGACCTTCAACTCCTCTGAAATACCATCCAAAGCTTCAAAACAATGGCTCCCACCTTCACCACCATCATGGTACAACCCTAAAACACCTCTTGGATATGATATGGTACAGCCCTGAACTGAGGAAATAGTGACTTTAAAACAATAATGGTTAAAGTCATGTGACTCGTGAGGACCTTGTTTGTTACATGTCTCCTGGACTTGTTTTCATAACCAAGGATCATATTGAGGAAAATAAGGGATGGATCATGTAAGAAAATATCTCGTCTGCTTGAAATGTGATTGTCATTTAAATATGATGATGACGACACACATTTTCAGCCAGTCTGTGCTGGAAGCTATTAAACTGGTTGTGCTGGTTTGTACACGTGAGAAGTGCCTAAAGTGTTCACCCACACAGCCAGCCAGTCGCTGCGAGACGTGGGTCGGATTGTTGCTTTTGGGTTGGAAAAGGTACACTCTGTGGTACTCAGTCACTCCACCCCGGCTGGTACAGAAAGGGCGACTGAGGGCTTTCCAGAGCTGGAGCATACTGGCAGCTTCACGGTACTTTCCTATATGACATTTGAGAATGTGTTTAATGGTAAAAGGCATGAATGTGGACCTTCATAGCTCACCTGGTAGAACAGGCATCGTTTTACTGAAGGATGAGTTCGCTACTGTAGCCTGGGCTGCCCCCATTAAACTGTCACTGTCTAATAAAGTAATAATATTATCCACAAATCTGAATTGAAATACCTCTGTGGCTAGCATGAAGGTATTCGCCTGCTTTTTTAGGAGGGAATACGAGATTCTCTTTGATGTTATCAGTGTTTATAGTGCCACTATCTATGACCGGCACCTAAACACAGACAAGATTTAGACAGCTGATGTCCGTGTCTATGGGAGGTGCTACGGCCTCTGTCTGCCATATCACCTTCCCATGGACCCAACTTCTGCTTCTCAGATCTGTTGAGATGAGCACAGTCCTAACGGATAACTGGCTCTGCACCAGCACAACAATGGAAAAGAGGTTTGAGTGATTGGCTAGTTTTTGGTCTTTTGGTGAGCAATTGCATGTGCCATAAATGTCCTTGCACGTGGAAGCACTGCAACATGTTAATCAACAGACAGTGACTGTTTGTTAACAGATATCAAAGAACTGTGGAGAGACTGCAGATTTTTGCAAATGTACTTTCCAGATGGTACACAGGGCAGCAAGTTATACAAACTCGTCATTTTTGTAGTGTGATTGTGAAACCTCGGCGCTAGCGTTTTGGTCCCTGCCATATTGGGCTCTTGGAGCCAGAAGTGGCCATATTTGGATAAAAGGGTGGCGTTCCGAGTTACCAATTCCTGGAAATCTTGGTGAGGAGCTTCATCTCTCAAACAGATCCCTGCAAATTGCTAACACACTATTCAAATACTAGAATTTCACTCATCAAAACTGGAGCGCAAACTTTTTTGGACAGCCTGCACCACACAGCACGCCAGGCTATTAGTCAGATAATTGTCAGATCAAAACTGCTCCAACAGGGAGCAGGATGGCAAACATGATGCAGCGACTGTAAGCAGCAGCTCTATGACAGCTCGCAGCCACAGCAGCCTGCAAGCCTCCAAATACTGAAACAGGTGAGTTAGCAAAAAATATTTACAACCTTGTTTTTGTTGTAAGGGCTGAATGACCTCCATGAGTTTGTCCTGTGACTTCTGTTGCTGCGAGTCTTTCTACAGAAAACGTCTATGTTTAAGGAAACGTTAATATAAGGCGAGAAAACGAGCAGTGAGGATATTGGAGTTTATTACACGGACAGTTTAATACTGAGCGATATGTGACTGAGCAGAGTGGAGTTGGCTTTCACAACCCACTTTTACTTGGACTGTTTTTAAAGGAAGCCAGCGTTTCCACATGTTTATCAACAATTTTATAAACGTGGACGCTAAAGCTGGTGTGACTGCCAGAACATGAATCACATCAAACTGATGAAACGTGAGAGTCACGTTGAGGATTGATCTGATTAGCTGGAACAACATCAGGAGCCACGGCGGATGATGTCCAGCAGGAGAAGGTGATTTTCTTCCCGCTCGCCTCCTCCTTTGGCTGGTTTGGATGCGCGGTGGTGGACGGTCCATCCTGGGAATGTCCTCGTGTGACCCTGGACGTAATTGTGGGACGTCTTAGATGCCGAATCAGCACATCTCAGATTCTACTTACCGTGCACAGCGTTGATTGAAGCTTGTGCATCATAAATAGAGAATGATGCATGACACATGCAGCTGGAGAGACCCTGAACGCTCTGGTTTTCATTATTGGTCAAGAAATAATGGCAAGCAGATTGAGTTTTTTCATGAATAAGTAATCGCATGTTTGCATATGTCAACACTTAAAGAACTCTACAAGGAAGAAAGGAGGCAAACAAAACGCAGATCAACCTTTTGCAGCTGTTTTTGTTTTGGACGATGAGCAAAGAAAAGAATTCAGTGAAAGTGAACTACACGCCAGTGATTTACCAGATTCTGAAGTATTGTTGCTATAATTATCTTCCTAATACGAACAATATTGTTTTTTTGTCTCTTGTTGGTCTCTGCTCTTCATTACTGCACAAATAAACTAAATTCCCATCGCTGTCATACAAACAATAAATGATTTACAAGATATGATTTTATGATTTCTGGTTGTGAATTTCTCATTTTCTGTCTCATGAAGGCGCTCTCAATCTGTGGGCCCCCTGCAGCCGGGCAACCAGATAATATGCAGTGAAACTGAGGCTCCTTTAAATGACTGTGTTAAAATTGTGCAGTTGATACATTGTAGCTGCGTGAACTGCAGCATCTATGGTCCACTTGGTAGCAACATGCAGTAAAAACATCATATCGATTAACACAAGGATGTCTCTGCTGAATGAGATCTAATGGGCTCACAGTGGTAATGTGCTAATTGCAACAGCTATCAGTCTGCCAAAGTGAATGCGTGTGTAATAATCATTTAAACACTTTTCACGCTGTTTAAAATTCATCAGAGTCCAACATCAGCAGAGCAACGCAGACACACGAGCGCAGAGATTCAGCACAGGATGATAAATCAAGCTTAATATTTAATTATTTAACTTGTGTCAAGAAAATAAACACATGTTTTAATGCTATCAGGTTGATATTTGAGTAATTAAAAGTCAACTTGGGTCATATTTTTAATAAATAAAGGAAAAATGTTGTAGGAGTGTGGGGGCGTGAACATTCTTGGCTTCTGATGGGGGAGGCACGCCAGAAAACGTCTGGGAAACACTGATGTCATTCGTCTCATCTGTCAGACAGTGCAGATACACACACACACGTAACAAGCTTTACATTAAACCACAAGTAATTGACAGTAACTAAAACAGAGCTGGGAAAGAGGCGTCTGTCAAGAATTTCATAACAGCTTTCGTATCAGTTTTAGATTTGTTCTAGGTTGTGTGGGTAGGTGTGTGAGAAGATTCAATCCCGTGTCTTTGGTATTTGGTATTCAGGGGATGATTCTAACATATATATACATATATATATATATATATATATATAGATAGATAGATATATGAACTAATCAGTTAATTTTTTAAGACACATTTTACTTTTTAAAAACATTTGAACAAGTTATCAGTCAAACACCAAAGATCACAAATGAAATTCTTACCTGATCTCGTCTCCAGCAACCACAGCATTTCAGGTTTATTGTCATTATAAATTTATTGTTATTATATATTTATCATTAAAAAGTTAATTATCCCGACTTATTATTCTTGAGGAATCTGTGAATATCATTAAATCTGTGAAGACCATTAAGTAGTTTGCAGGTTTTTGAAGTCTTTTAATGAATCCTTCTAATGTCATGGTCTTTATGGTCTTAAGATGCACTTTACAGGAGTGAAGCTGAGGGCGGGTGGAGTGTGTGGTTGGTGTCTCTGTTTTGTACAGGATGTTGTTCTGCAGTGAGGCTCGTTTAACAAGTTTCACTTTTCCAGCGTTAAACCTGTTTTTTATGTACTGCACACATGTGGTGATGCTTGTCCACGTAACACTGAGCAGCCTGCAGCTGTACAATAAAGTATGTTGTTAAAAACTGGTTTCACTGTGTGATGTTCCTCTTTGACCTGAAAGCATAATGACAGTAAATCATATTTTCAGTAAATACTTACAAAGATGTGCTTTTGCATCTTGTCATTTTAGGATATACAGACTTTTGGCACTATGACATTTGGATTCTGTAGTTTAAGGAACTTTTCCTTGCAATTGAAATAATGTTGTTTTATCACATCTCAATCCTGCATTTACTGAACTTATAGATATTAAATAAGAACTATTTTTCTATAGATTTAAAATAAGCCTGAGGAAAATATCATTTGCATCATTGGTGTTTTTCAGGTTAGGGTAACAATCTCTCATCTCACATCACAAAATATATATTATTATTCAAATTTCAGCAAACAGTTTAAACACCAAGTGAGAACAAACAAAATACAAGTAAAAGAAAATAAGTAGAGAATTTAAAATGCATTCTTTTTTTTAAAAACTTTCTTTTTATTGTTTTTCTTTAAACACTATACAACAAAACAACAACAACAACAACAAAAAGATAAATACAACAAGTAGGATAACAAAAAACAAACAAACAAAACAAACAAAAAAACAAAAAAAAACATGTTGGATCTCTTTGTTTCTACAGTTTGATCATTTCTCATTATCATAATCAATGTGTTGGTCTTTATCCTGCTGGGTTTATGTACTCAGTCCATTTCTCCCACTTTTTATGGTATTGATCTTCCTGAGTCCTTATTCTGTAGGTCAGTTGTTCCATGGTTTGTATTTCATCTATAATTTTGATCCATTCGTCCTGTGATGGTGGGTCTATCTTGTTCCATTTTCTTGTAATTGCCTTTTTACAGGCAGCAAGCATAATTTTCAATATGTATCTATCTTCTTTCATCACATTTCCCGTAATGACACCAAAGTATAATAATGTACAAGTCTTAGATACAGTATAACCCAGAATTTTACCTATAACTAAATGAATATTTTCCCAAAATTTTGTAATCTTGGGACAGAACCAGAACACATGGGAATGATTCACATTTACCTCTCCACAGCCCCTCCAACACGGTTGTGGTAATGAGGTATGTTTGTTCTTAATTTTGGGTGTTATAAAAAATCTAATTACATTTTTCCAGCAGTGCAGTCTGGAGACTAAAATGCATTCTTATGGTTCATTAGTAATAATAATAATAATAACTTACATAAACTAATGAATGATAAAATAAATGAATGAAGAAGTGGAGGTATGAAAACTAGAAATAACCAAAATTCAAAAGCTGATAAAGCTAATATTCTCTACTTGCAGCCTTCTTAAATAAAATGTAAGTATTATGTTATTCTGATCTTATACTATAAATTGCTTTTCTGTTCTTATTTGTATTCATTTATTACATTTAATATTTATATAGTATTATACTACACAAGCTGTTAGGCGCCACAGGTGAACACTTCTTGGTCGCTGTTCTGTTTTCTAACCATTCTGTGTTGTTCTGCCTCCCTCTTGTGGTCAGACTGTGTTACTACAACAGCTAAACTGTTGGTCAAAGGATCTGCATATCCTCCTTCATTACATCCCTAAATCTTCTCTGTGGTCCTCGTCTTTTGCTCCTGCCCAGCAGCTCTATTATCGCCATCCTTTATGTAATATATCCACTAGCCCTCCTTTGCACGTGTCCAAACTATCTCTGCCTCTCTAACTTTAGCGGTGTCTCAATTCAGGGGCTGCATCCTTCGGAGGACCCGGGCTTCGCTGTCTATGTGGGCCGGCTCCTCCGAAGACCGAGAAGGCTGGAAGTGCGAGGCTGTGAAATGGGAAGAGAAGAGGCTCAGAGCAGATCCCTGGTGTAACCCCCAACCCCCAGCATGAATCCATGACCTGACACTCATAAAGGACACATCATCACTGTGTCACTGTCCTCCTCATACATGTCCTGCACCGCCCTCTCACACACTTCTCTGCCACTCCTACCTTCCCTACAGTACCACAGCTCCTCTCTTAACATCTGTTTTCTCGGATCCACAAAGACTCAGTGAAGCACATTCTGATCATCTTAAAACTTCTACATCAACACTCTCAAAGCAAACATCACATCTGTAGAGCTTTTTCGCCTCATCTCACCCACCAAAGTTATTCCCAAAGAGATCTAGTGGGGAAAGTCCATTGTCCTCTCTCATAGAAATTTCTATACATTCACAGGTATAACTGAACCTAATAAATCTCACTTAGTTTTGTATTTTATAATTAGTTTTCTTTTTATTTCATTGTGACTTGTATTTATAATTCAGTTTAGTTTCATTTTATTTATTGTTTGAAAAGTGCCGTTTTAGTTTAGTTTTTTTTAGTGCTAGTATTAGTCTTTTTAATTATTCTTGTAATTGTAATTGAGAGAATTTCCACAATACTGACAAGAACTGAAAATGTTGAAGCAAAATTGCAAAGCAATATACTGAAAGATCCATTTCCTGATGTGATGTCATAATGCGAGACAACAAAACAAGATAAAATAGGTTTATAAATAAAATCATGCGAAACTATTTCATATGTCACCTTGTCATTGTTGCATTCTGTGACCTCAGTTGCTCTGACTGACTTCGCTTTTACTCCACCTAAGTTTGTCCCTCCGCCGTCCCGTCAGAATCTCTTCCGGTTGCAGCTGCAGTGCGTTAGCGGTTTCTGTGAAGGTCGTGAATCCAACCTGTGAGTATCTGTCAAAACGGAAAACGTTTATATTCTTACACTGAATTTTGTATATAATATGTTGGTTTTCAGATGGCTGATATCTTCCGGGTTATTACAGTTTCTCGTATTTTCTCTGCTTTCTTCTTTTTGTCGCGGGCCGGTTAGCTGTCATTGTGTACAGCTAAAGCTAACTCGGCGCTAACTCAAAGCCTGTTACTCTTATAAACTGTAGTCCAACAATATATGCTAGTTTATGCAGGCTGTGTTGGTATAGCTTCTCCCACCAATAGATAAAGAAATGGTCTTATTAGAAAGCAAATGACTCTTTTTTTAGTGTCGCCAGTAAGCTAACGTTATTCTGACCCTGCGCCGAAGCTGGTGGCGTCAAACCGATTTTATTTCCGTTAATAATCAAAATCAGCCCGTTCAAGCCCTTCGATAATGCATATAGATATTATTTAAGAGTCTTTAAGTGTAAACAAGGGCACACGTCAGAGGTAGTAATGGGACTAAGGTCACACCGCTTGAGTGCAGACCTGACTCTGCGGCCGTGTGTAATGGCGATCCTCCACACACCAACACACGGATTCATTTCATTCTGCGTGTTTTCAATATTTCATTGTTGTCTTGGATCTTGTGTGTCGTATTGAGTTAATTCAGGTGAAGCAGGGTTTTGAGAACAGCAGGTTCATTTAGGGGTGACTGCTAACGACCTTCAGGCGAATTAGGAGCCTCAGATGGGTCCTTTTACCTGCTTTTATTTATTAACTGGTGCCAGAGATGTGAGGTGGAAACATGACCATTAAAGAATCCAGGATTTAAATCTGCACCAACAAAGAGGACGGTATAACTTCCAGCCGAATAAAGCTTCTATCACACCTTTTTAAAGCAGATATATCAAATGTTAGAGTCGGGATCTTATTTGTGTAGTCTTTATATTTTGGTGACTACCGAAATTAACTTTAATCTATGAAATGATTCAGAATAACTGCCTGAGTAAATGTCTACATGCACTTCAAGGTTTCAAGATTAAAACTTTTCTGCGTTGTTAAAAAAAAAAAAATCAGGACTGAGATAAATGTTTTTTACACATTATGTTTAAGTAGGGTTAATATAATGTATGAAATGTATTTTTATATATCAAAAGTAAGAAATTAAAGGAAAATGTACCGATTTTGTTTTATTATTAGTAAGTTAAGTTAGTCAAATAGTGAGTTTAATTGTTTTGTCAGTTTTTAGGAAAAAGGGTGTCTTATGGAAGATATTTTCAGATTTCAGTTTCTCGAGTGAGGAGATTTGCAGCCTTGGTTATTCACCAACAGGGTTTCTGGTTTTTAATAGTCTAAAAATCCAAAAATGAGTTTCACAAATTAAATTTTTGTTTTTGTCTTAAAAATTGATCAAGTTTATTTTATAAAGTTGCATTAAATTCAGTTTCTGTTAAATGTGTTTTGGTGGAAAGGTAGAAACAGATCATGCACTCATCAAAAGGTTGGTGGATCAATCCAAGTTCAATTCAATTCAATTCAATTTTATTTATATAGTGCCAAATCACAACAAAAGTCGCCTCAAGGCGCTTCATAGATACAGAGAAAAGGCAATCAGTCCTCATTCCAGATATCCTTGGGGCAAGATGCTAACCTAAATTCCTCTCTGATGCATCCGTCATAGTATGAATGTGTGTGAATGTTAGAAAGTAATTGCATAGAAAAATAATTGGAAGAAGTGCTTGTGAATGGGTGAATAATTGGATTGCTCAGAGTAAGAAAGGACTATGTTAGAAGCCCATTTAGTCCATTTATTATAACAAAACTACAGAATAAAGCCACAATGGTGAAAATTTGTTTTCAAAACTGTCTGCTTAGCAAACTGCATTTAAAAACTACTTTGTATGTACTGCAGTATTCAGTATGTGTACAATTCCAACATATTTTGACTTTGTACTTTCACCTTTGACCTCCTTGCTGAGTGGGTCACAGTAGCCACGAAAGCATGCTGGCAACAGGCATCCTGGTATTGTTAGTGTGCTGCAGTATTTGGATATACTTAAATTTTGTGTGCAGTCCATTTAGTCTCATCCATGTTTTCTCCCATATTTCCTTCCACGGTCACTCTGTGTCGTCACTGCAGTTTTTATTGTCTCTATTAAAACTTCCATGGTGGCAATGGTAAAACATGGAAGCTATAAAACTACATGCATCTTATTTTTATGAATCCACTTTTACCAAAACACACAACATGATTTGTATTCAGTGTATTTACATCGGGTCATTCTTCAAATTAGGTTGTTAAATTCAGCTTTTATTTTACTCTGATCACTAACCAGGAAATGATTGTTTTAAACATTTTAAAGTGAAATGATATAACGACAGTACTTTTGTTCTTTGAATTTAATAATTGGGGGAACATTTAAATTATTTTTTTTGTATTTTTTCCCCTCTGCAGGTGATTCATCATGTCTCTGCCAAAGCCAATGATGAGGGGGCTGCTTGCAAAGCGACTGAGGTTTCACCTGCCCATTGCTTTCACTCTGGCTTTAACAGCTGCCATTGCATTCAAGGTGAGAGGATGACGCACACTCAGGTGGCTACAGACACAACTCTGATGGTGACGCCAAGATAAAAAAATGACACAGCCATGATGACAGGAACACATCAAAGTGGTCCTGTCAGTATCTAGATCCACTTACAGCTCAGCAGACAGCTGATTGGCTCTTCTGTTGTCATCATATTTTATTCATCACATTTATTTTCTAGTTAAACTTCTTTTTTTCAGATCAGTTTATAAGATGCAATGAATCATTCACTTAAAGGATATGACGTTTTTGATGTTGACAAATAAATACAGTAATATAATATTGTAATATATAATATAATAGAGATTTTTTTTATTGTGACCAGTTTTACTCTTCTACATAGTGAGTATCCTACTTTCACTTTTAATACTTTGAGTAGTGTCTGTTATCTCTGTAGTTATACTAATTTTACCTGCAGTAAGTTCTGTCATATTTTTGTTGTTATTCCCCACAGTACACGGTGACAGAGCCCAAGAAACAGGCGTACGCAGACTTCTACAAGCAGTACGATGCCGTCAAAGAGTTCAACGCCATGAGGGAAGCTGGGATCTTTGAGAGTGTGCAGCCCACTGGGAAATAAAGCCACGGTGAGGGCCTCATCACTTGGCTTTAAATATTGTCATTTCAAACTTCGGTATCATATGGAGTGTAATATATGATATGATGGTGTTTCCATCAGCATTAACGTTCTGTTTTTTTTTTTTTCGTGAAGATAATATTCTTAGTTTAAAGCAGGTCATGGAAACACAAACTTTAATTTAGGATATGTCAGATTAGCCTTTTAATATTTTCTGAAAATGATATGAGATGTGCAGATATTGAGAATTTATTATTACTGCAGTTTGTAACAACTTCTTTCTTGTTTACGGGCAGTTTCTGTGACTGAGCAGGGCTGCATATTCAAAGGAAAAAGTTCACATCTGTGGTTGGAACAAGAGACACAGCTAGCTTTAAATATAGGGAAAGTGGATCTAATCAGATTTCTTGGCATGCAAACAAACATTACAGCAGCCATGTTTTCAAGAAAGTGTTTGAAGGCTGTCTGTGCATCGCTGAGCAACATTGTTGGAAAGTATTTCATGTTAGGTGCTGTAGCAATTCTTCAAAAGAATGATGCAGATCCCAGACTTTTAAAAAAAAAAAATGGGGGGGGCAAGTTAAATAATTTAAAAATGTTTTTAAAAGTCCTTTTTTTTTTTTTTTTTTTTAAACCGCAGGCTTGCTCTTAATTGAATCCTAAACAAATGATAAATTCCATTATTCTGAAGTATTTCCACTTCACTCTTTAAGCTGAGTGTTAAGTAAAGCAGTTCACCTTTCATCAGGCTTTAGCTTCACAGCTGCACATTATGCATGATTAACACAGTACATGGAGATGGAGCATTTCACAATATTGCAGATGTTTTCTTTTGCAAGCTCGGATTTTGTTTTAGTAAAACTGGTACGTTTAATTATGAACGCAGCTTGGTGCCTGCTGCTGAGGTCCTTTGAATCTGTATGTTTTCTAAAGGCCAACAGGGGGCGCCAACTCTGACTGGAAAGAATTCAGATTGAAGAGAAGTGTTTAGAAAAAAGACGGTCGGCTCTGTGGAGTTTGGTCTCTGAGTTGTTTAAAGTCTCACTGAATACAACATGATGGCCGTTCTTATAAATTATGGAGTCAGAAATGGATGATATGGCAAGGTTTGCTTCAGGGTGGGGCTACCATATGAATGTTGCTGCCCTGTGATGAGCTCACAACATCCGTTTCTCAGTCAGGTCCGCGCCTCGCAGGCACATAAAGTTTCAAAACATCTGTGAGACGGTGACTTTACGAGCCAATAGGTGATGTCTTGGTGGCTGCATCCATGTTTTGTATTCAGCTTTTGTCTAATCTTAGATCTTTTTTAATTTAAGTTTTGTAAATTGTATGTAAACTGGAATAGTACTTTATTTTATACTAGCTCAGTAAGAATAGTATTTTTTTATTCAAACAAAACGTTTGTCGTGCTCGTCAACGTGCTTACTGACGTGTCAAACCACGTGCATCTCTAATGTCTGGTTGTTTCCTTCCTCCAGCTCTGCTTCCCTGTTGTTCATTCCTGGTCTAAAAGATGGTTCCTCTCCACCTCCACCTTGACGTTACCTACTGATCAGATGTAAACGTCGCTTTGCTGTTTTTGTTCATTCAAATAAAATAAACTATTCTATTAATGATCAAACATCTGCCTTTGTGATTTATTCAAAATAAACTTTGAATCTCACTGAAGTGTTAGATGAACAAACATAAACAACGACGGGGTTGGACTGGACTCCAATATTAATGAGCATCACATGTATCTTTTGTATCTCTGTATTTGTTATCGACTGCCTCACTGTATTGTCAGATGTTCTAATCGGTTTGACATTTTTGGGATGGAGTATTTTGAAAATGCTTTGACGTTTGAGGTGAAGCATCAAGTGTGCGCATTACTAATGCTGAGGTTGTGTCTACTGAAAATGCTCAAAGCTTCCAAAATCAAGTTCAAACTGAGGGTTATCTTATACATGGTATAAAAGCTTCAAGGTTTATCTATCACCCGAGAAAGCAGTGTGATTAAAGTAAATCAGTGTATACATTAATGCTCACAAAGCAGGAGATAGATACAAAGTTATTACAACATTTCCAAACTTTATTGATTAATACATTAATAATAATTAATACATTATGAAGAAATTAAAGAGATGCTCACTACAGAACAAACCTGATAGAGGCAGGGAGTGAAAGATTTCAAAGACTGGAAGAAAGAAAGCTAGTAATAAATGTTTCTAAAGACAAAAGGACTGCGTTGGGAATTGTAGTCTCCAAGAAAACCATCACTAGACTTCACCCTATAAATGAAATTTAACAGAACTGAATTGAATAAAGAAGGATGTGTGAAGATTCTGAAAGAAAATCTCAAGCAGCCAGCAGTAAATCTGTTTGGGTCTTTGGTCTGTTTTCCTACACAACAATGACCCAAAACATGCCCCGCTCCAAACATGAACAGAAACAGAATACGGTAACTTTATATAATATTAGTAACTTATCATGTTTCGGTGTTATAATTGTTTTTTCAACATACTTGGACAACTGTCGTGTATTGGATGGATGGATTCTATCTGGTGCCCCCTGCTGGCCGCGTCCCGTACTGCAGTCTTTGTTTGCACCGCCTTCTACTACACTTCCTGGTTTTTTCAGGTGGATGTCACAGCGGCTGCCAAACGGTCTGTCAAACAAGTCTAAAGTTGGAGGACGGGAGAGGAGGATGAATTCAGTGATGAGAATACGGCAGCTGGAAGAAACGCGCGGTGTGTGTGGAGCCTGTATTGCAGAATGATGACCGGACGTTGTATTTTTGGCGGATATCAGGCAGCAGCGGCGGCAGCGGGGAGGCTGCTGTGAGGCGGAGGAGCGGGCTAACTGTCCCTCTAGCTGCTGCTAGCCAGTTAGCGAGCGAGTTAGCATTATGCGTTCTGCTACTGTTCGCATGGTGTGTCTGCTTTGAAACGTTGGCCAGCTCCCCCCGAGTTTGACTGCAGGCCAGAAGATCCAGAAGAGTCTGGTTCTCCTGAGGAGGACATCATGGACTACAAGGACAAAGTACAGATGAGGCATAACCCTCGCAGGTAAAGCTATGCTAAGAATGAAAACAGGCTTTTTGATGGCTGGCATCTCATTGATTTTATCAGTCTAACGGTAGCACTCGGTGAAGTTTGTCAGTGGGGTGGCAATCTTCCGGCCAATTGGTATCTATTCAATGAGGCTGTAGCATTACATAACCGACTGTACGATAAAACAGACATTAAGTTAAAACGACTTTAAAGCTTCTCCATGTCCCCTGTAGTCTTCTTATGGGTAACTTTAATGGATCGTGCTGTCCTACATGTAGTTTATGTCTTAAAAGAGTCTGTTCTGATATGTTGTTCTTTTACAATATCCAGAAATTGTAACAAAAAGTCTAAAGTTAGTCTTACGATTCCTTAAGACCTTAAACGTTTCTCGCCTAAAAAGCTGCAAACAGAACTTTTTTTTGTCTTAATTGATTAAATAAATAGTCAGTACGACGCAATCCCAGCTCTTATTGCATTAACCAAGCCGCCTGTGTACACTTGATCTGCTGTGTCAAATCTCTGGGCTTGTCACTATCAAAGGCCCAGTGATCTAATTTAATGCCGTAAATCTCTTTGAAGATCTCGGATTATCTGCTTTAATCTCCAACAGGTTGTTACTGAATCAGCTCAGAGTCAATAAAACGCGCAGTAATTCTAACAGAAGAGCTGTGTGTGTGGGGGGTGTCCACAGCACTGGGTTTGTGGCAGGTGGAAAGAATGATACAGGGGTTAGAAGAACACGTTTTAATGAAATGAGTGTGATTCATGTGACTTTGTTGCTCCTGTGTGTGGCTGCTGTGTCTCTGCACCTGCAGATCTTTTATTTACACTGCAGATAACCTGATTCAGATATGAAGTTGTGAAATGTGTGATAGTGAGACTAGGCTTTTAAAAAGAAACAGGTATAATTGTATATGTGCAAAAATATGTAGACAGGAGTGGCTTAATGTCCTGTTCAGTTAAAGTTGTAAATATAGGTAAAAAAAATTGCTTTTCTCTGAGATTCTAAATTTAGATTAGTTTTAATCATTATGTGTTTGGTGCTATGCCCATAAAACTTGTACCAATTCAATTGTATCCAAATTAAATGTTTTCCATCCACAATCCTTCAGCAGGTACTCTCAATATTAAATAAGCTATAAAATACCAAAACACATATAAAATACAAGTCATAGTGGTGTAAACATTCTTCAAAATCACAGTTTAGTTAATGCGTTGGTTTCTCGAGATGAATAACAAAACACAGGAAAGTCTTGGTTGCCTGCATGATCAGTTATTCGTGACCAAAAAACAAACCCTCCATTATGATGATGATGTCCTGAGCTGTCCTTAAACGTCACAGCATTCACTTGTCTAGTTCCACTCGGGTATTAAGGTATGGGAAGTTAGAGCTTCGATGTGATATTCTGGCTGTTTGTATCAGTCTTAGTTTCTGTAGAATTACACCAATATAAAGCACATAACAAAATTAACTGATCAGCCGAAAGTGACTAAAATCAAACAAAAGTGTCACAAAATTCTGGTTCAAGTTTCTCAGTGTGATTGATGCTTCTCTAAAGTATGTGTAGAATATTGAATATTTTAAGGATATAAGTTATTTATTGTATGGAAAACATATTTCAGGATGCTCTTGTTTTGGCCTTATACATCTCCTTTCTTTACCTTTGTCCCTCTCTTGCGCCAAACAAGTTCAGATTCGCTCCCTATTAGCTGTGGCACGTTTTGTTCAGTTTGTTTGAATTATAATTAAAGTTCAGGGAAAGCAGTGCATCTTTTCTTATTTAAAATGTACCAAATCAAATTTTTCTAAAGCCTGAGTAATCGTGTTAAATAGCATCAGCCAAAATAACTGATTGTTTTCCATTATTGAGCAGCTTTAGAGACATTTTCACCATGAAACACCATAAATGCTAAAAAAAAAACTAAGCAACAAACTCTTCATTAAAAATGCATCCTGTTTTTTTTTCTTTCCTCGCTGTCATCACTCTGTATGTGGATGTTGAGCAGCTCATAACAGACGTGAACTTGTTTGTTGTGGGAACTGGTTTGTGAGCTCAGCGTGTTTGACAGTAGGAACTGACAGGTTCCTGTTATCCCCTCTTATCAGGAGGATGCTGGTAAAACTCGCCGCTCTTATGTTATCATTTTAACTCACTCATCCACTGTTTCCTCATTGCGTTGACGTAACGCAGGACTTTTGTGTTGGTTTCATCCCTTGTTATTGCAAGACTGGGTTAGGCTTTGTGTTCAATTATAAAATCACGTTTGTATATCCTGATGTATTTCAGTGTCACCCTCAGGCGTGTGGGGGAGTTACAGTCTTGCTCTTTTAAATGAATTATTCCTTCCTCTGCAAATACTGTAATAAGCAAGTACTTTGTGCAGATCAGTAACAGGCTAATTAAATCCACTGTTGCTCTACTGAGTTTGTCGTCCTGTGGATGGACTCCACAGTCTGCAGCTGCTGATGATAGTCGTCGTTTGCTCTGCGAGCTCAGTGCGGTGGTACATCAGTCTGTTCTCCACCTGTAACCTGGATAAAGAGACCCTGTAGAAGCAGCTGAATGACACTAAGGTGTGTTATAATAACAACCTGCCGAGAGGAAGTCAAGAGACGGGAAGGACCTAGCGTGTTAGGAGTGACGGGTCTTTCAAAATAAAAGTGCAAGGATGAGTTGTTTGTTCATTTTAGGATATAAAACATGACTTGGTATATAATTTTTAGGGTTTTATATTGCTTTTACTTTATTTTCATCGTCTCCTGAAGCAGATCAGCTAAACCCATCCAGTCAAATATTTTCTTAGCTGCGTATCCAGTTTGCAGTTGCAGGGAGGCCCCACCATCACTGGGCTTCCACAGGGAGACAGTCATTCACACTCACAGTCCCACCTGCAACACATTTAGAATCATGGGGTAACCTAATATGCACGTCTGCAGGCGTGGAAAAGGAAATAGATTTTATAAGTAATGATTGGAACAATATTGGTCCATACAGTCCTGTTTCATTCCTATGCTTAAAAAGACCTGGCACCATGTTTTTAATGCTCATCAAATATAGTTGGGTAAGCAGGTCCTACTGTGTGTGTCTAGTTTCTGGTTGACTTTAAAAAGGGTCTTTAAAAGAAACGTAGCACTTTTTAGACACAAATAATAGTGTTATGCTTTTAAATTAACACTGTCCAGTAATGTTACTGATGGGTACGATGATACATTTCATATTTTATACTTAAGTATATGTATATTAATACATATACTTACTGAATATACAGA